ACTGAGTGGATGTATGTGGTGATTGTTTTATTTTATTTTATTTTTTTATTTACATGTGATTGTTTTAGAGTTTAAGATCGAAATAAAAAATATAAATTAAGGGTATTAGAGTAAATTTAATATAATTAGGGCGACGAATAAGAATTTTTAGGGCGACGAATAGCAATCCCCTTATGAAACTGATATCATGTTTTTTGGATCTAGATCTAGTATTTTGAATATGGGATTTCAAAACTGATTTTGGATTGTTAGTTGGGAAAAAAAAAGCTCTGCGTATGTGTTGTATTTGTACTTGATTATACGTGGGGTGTGATTTGGTTGTAATTTGCTGATCTGTGTTGGATTTTTCGGCATGCTATTACTCTAATACACGTATGACTACAGTAGTGTTTCTATCTATGTTATATAAAAATAAACGAGTTTAAATATGGTGAAAATAAACTGGACAAAATATATAGCTCATAGTGAAGGTAATCTAGCAAAAATCATAAGCAGTTCAAACAGAATTAAACTGCATTAAGATGGCAGGAGCAAATCGTATAAATGGAAATAGATTACAAAATCAAGCTGATAAGTAGTTCATCGCATAAATTAGGAGGTACTTGGCAACATGGATCAACAGTAGAATCAATCTATAGATGTTATTATCCAAAATATGAGAGAAAAAAGTGATACAAATCACCAACCTCGGATTCGAAGAGCCCACTCCCTTCGCTTCTGATTGATCGCTCTCGTTGGGTTTAGAGAAAGCTCGATCTCTAAATCCTTGTTCTTCAACTATTACAAGCTTTGAAATATAAATTTTCTAAAGAGGAAAAAGAAAAGGTGTTTCTCTATATCTCTCTCTATCTCTCCAGTGTCCCCCCCCCCCCCCCTCTCCAAAAAACCGTCCTCCCAGCAACAAGCCCCAAAGAGCTCATTTATACCAAAGGGGGGTGCGCCAGGTGTCACTTGTTGATTGGTCATTGTTGAGGATGAGCATAACATGCTTCTCTCTGATTCGTTGATTTTCAAGGCTGCATTTGAAGCCAACACCTTGCTTAGTCGGTTCTGACTGGTCAGGCACAGGTTTGATAGGGGTGACCCTTGAGTTCAAGCCAGAGTTGGGCCTAGGATTGTGGGCCGTTCTGATATTCATATAGCTCGAAATGGGCCGAGCCTGTCTCCACCTTGAGCTTGCTCTTGGGCCTCGAAGTTGGCCTTTAGCTTTGGTTTAATTTGTCTTTGTCTTAAAGATGGGCTGTGTTGATCTGATTCTTCTTCTTTTGCATATTGCTTTCGCTGGGCTTCCTTGTGATGGGCTAAGTTTGGATTCTTGATTCAAAATTAGGAGTAGATAATTCACGTTCAACTTGTAAATGAGGATGATAGTTGCACAAATTAAAACTGCTTGTAGTAATGTTGATAAATGTTACTTGTAATTTGTCATTGATATTCTTCTCGAATTAATTATCGAACCTTGAATAAATTCTCTAACACGAATCCAAAACCAAGAATGAATCATGCCGCTCCTTGATTTGGTTCCATGAACCAGTTTACTGCACTACACTTCTCGATTGTAAATGCAGTTTGATGTCCTCGTGATATGTTCTACACCGAACAAAATGTGGTGCCTACAACACACATCGGTGTAAAATTCTTAATAATCAAAACCTATCTTAATATTCATGTTTACAACCCTTTATATAGCCCAGGGCAAATAAAATAATCAAAAACCCAAAAAGGAACAAAAGCCTAAACCTAAGAGGAATGCCAAACTCGCCCAGACACAAAACCCGGTCCAAATACACGGTCGGGTATTTTGATGTCTTGTCCGGGGGGTCTCTTGGACTGAATACCGGTCTACCCTTAAAAATAACCAGTAGGGTATCTTTTAAAAATGGTCTGGTATTCCCGCTGTGGGAATCACATCAGTCTCTCCCTGTTGAAGAAGATTTTCCCTCAAAGCTTTCCATCCTGGCTTGCAAACGAAATTTCTTGTATAGTCAGCACAAAGAAAGAACAAACATTCTCCACAATCCTACGAAATTAAAGCTTAAACAGCCGATCAAACATTTTCCAAACATAATTGGTTGCTCTAGAAGCAACCAAACTTGAAGTTTCTCGTAAAAAATCTCCAACCTTCACTAGGCTCAAACCAGCGCCATTTGACTTCTTGTATTCAAAGCAATCAGTTATCCAAGGCAAGCAATCAAAGATCAAAGCTGGAAGACTCATACACCTCAAATCCTGATAAGCATCAAAACAGAAAGGGTCGTGATAGCTTGATTCAATTCGTTCTATTTCCACCACTTCGGCTTCATCACTTTCCTGTACTGCAACTTCTTCTACCTCCTTCGGTTCTACGGAATTGATCGATGACTTCTCTTCTTCGATTGCCTTCTAATTTGGAAGTGTTATTGCTTCCTCGACCTTCTGCCCTCCTCATGCGCTGGTAGTAGCTGCCTCCTATCTTCAGCAACCTCATGCGCTCTAGCTGGTATTCATGTGCTTATTGTGGATAAATGCAAGAATTTGGCTATCTGCTCTTCTTCGTACTCCCATTGTAGTTGTTGCAGCGCCTTCAAATCATCAGCAACTTCCTCCGAGAATAAAGTTGTCAAAAATAAAACCTTCTTCTGATGCTGCAATCGGAAGCTTTTCGATCATCTGTTGACCAGATGAACTCCTCGATCATGGAACTAGGTTTGTCCCAACACAAGGTAGATTGTAAGCCTATACACCATGTCACACAAGACCTCATCTTCGTAGCAACCAATGGAGAATTTCACATGAACATGTGTAACCACAACGCTCGGAAATTGTTCGCCAGGAAGTTGTAGAATATATGGAGCGGGATAGAAATACGTTGGTAGCCCCAACTGCTCCACTGATCTTGTGCTGATCCAATTTGATTTGATTCCTCAATCTACCAGCATAGAACTCAACTTCTCTTTAATTAAACAACGAGTAGAGAACATATTACCTTGCTCTATTGCTTCTTCCATCGCCACTTCGCCATACCTTCTTCTCCAGTCCATTTATTTGAACTGGGGCTCTAACACAATTCCGATCTCGTGAAAACTTAGGTTATTTTTATCAAAGTCGCGCAACTTCAATCAAGCCTAGATAGCTCAATTATATCTTCAAACGAACACAAAAATAAAAGGGATACGTGGGGATAGCTACTCACCACAATCAAGTACGATGCTTGATTGATAAGAGTTTTTTCAAGCACTTCTGGAATCTTTAACAGAAAAACTCAAACAAGGATCTTACACTAGTTATGGAATCTACCAAAAGGTAAAACAATAAACCCGAAGCACTCATGCTCCATAGGGGAAAAACACACCTCGGTGTAAAATTCTTATTCATGAAAACCTAATCTTAAAATTCGTGTTTACAACCATTTATATAGCCAAAGACAAATAAAATAATCAAAAACCCAAAAAAGGAAGAAAAGCCTAAACATAAAAGAAAGGTCAAACTCGGCCAGACATAGAACCCTGTCGAATTTCCAAATACCCTGTCGAGTATTTTTTGTCTCGCTTAGGGGGTCTCCTGGTTGGGTATTTGCGAAAGATTGTCAGGTATTCCCGCTGCAGGAATCACATCAATAAGAAAAACATATTTAAATTAATAATTAATAATCTATCGATTAATTGCTAACTACTATAAATTTATAATTTTCACGGTGCGGACTATATTAATTTATAGAGGTTATACTGTAGTAGCAGCAGTCTGCTTAAAGGTTACAATCCCAACCAAGTCAAAAGGTCTGGTACGAACAAAACAAACTGACACACCCCCCTCCCCCAGTGGTTTAACAATGAATTTTTTTTCACGAAACATCAAATGAACTTAACTATGAGCTCGGGTATCCTATCATAGCGAAATTATATGATTCCGCATAATTTTTTGAGAGCTTGCATCCTGCCTTTGTCCCAAAAAAAAAATTCATTTGCTACACCGAACGAGCAATTTTTCGACTACACCAAACTTTAGACGACCATAACTTAATGCTCCACAATCCGAACGTCAAAAACTTTTTTTATATCTCGCATAACTTTTTAAGGACTATAAATTTTCTCGTAGCTATATTTTCAGAATGTATGTGGATTTGTTAAAGGTAAAGCCAAAGTTATACCCAAAACCCCTCAACAAACTTTTTCTTCTTTTGAAAATTGCTTCAGTGTAAAACTTGGAGTCCTGCAAAATTTATGCTGAATGAAAAAAGGTTTGATGACGTTCGGGTCCGGAGCACAAAGTTATGGCATTTCAAAGATTGGCAAAGTCAAAAAAATTGCCCGTACTGTGTTGCAAACGATATTTTTTGGGCGAAAGCATGATATACAGTTTTCTTCGGCTTGCAAGATCTCGAAAACTTTTGCGGAATAAAAAATAATCGGTGCGATCAGATACCTACGCGCAAAATTATGTTCATTTGAAGTTTCAGTCTAGTTTAGGCATTGATCGAAAAAAATTCAATGCGATCCTTTTGTAAACCTCCATAGGGGGCACAATTTTTTGGAAAGCTGGTATATTTCAAATTTTTGGGTTGTATTTCTAGAAAATTCACGCGTTTTATATCTTCTTCCCCAAATTAAGCGGCAAACCCCAAATTTTATGCTCCAAACCTTCTACAAAAACTTCCCTCCTGCGAAATTTTAGGGTCCAAACCCTAAAATTTTAGAGTCCATATCAAATTTTTAGCTCCTAAATTCTGCAATTTTGGCTCTCAACTCTCCTTCAATTTCTTTACCACATAAAAATGGAAGAACAACAAGGTTTTAGCTTTCCCCACTCTCTGCATTCCCAATTAGAAGAAATCTCTCTTTATTCCCATATGTTTGTTGTCTACTACAACCATCTCAATATCCTCATCCTCTTTCTCTTTGTAGAGAATCTCTCCAATTCAAAATTTCTTCTCCCTGCATGCAGTGAAGATTACTCTAAGCTTGCAGCTTAGGTATATTTCCATTCTAATCTCTATTTGAGAAGGACAAAAAATCCATGGATTTGTGAGTGTCAACCTAAAAAGAATGTTGAAAACAAATGAGCCATTTGCTAGTAAGTCAAGTATCCCAGGTATTTATGCAGAAGACAATGTTACGGGCTATGGACAAGTTGTAAAATGAACATAACACTGGCGAATCACATTAAATGGTTCAGCATATGAATTGGTATGCTTTTCTCTTTATTTTTTTGATAAACTACTACTTGTTTTTGTTTTCAACATTACAATGTCAATTGTCTTTCTTATTTATTTGTAATAGATGTTCCGCCAAAGCTTGTTATTATGGAAGATGCTATGGCAATTGGGCCATGAATAGGAGGAACACTTTCTTTTTCAACTATCTTACTTCTTAGTCGGGTGATACCATATATCATGCAGACCTCACTACATGATGTTTTTTTATTTATTGTTGGAGCATAACTACAATCAGGATGCATAGTTTAAATGATAAGCTTCTTTCACTTTTCAGGTTCAGTGGATAAGGTGTTGGGGTGAGGTTAATGGATTCGTCTCCAAGAATGTGGTGTTCTACACAGAAAGTTGTAAACATGTGGAAGTAAATTGTAGTAGAATTATTACGTTTACACTTATTATTATTGACAGTAAAATTTAATATAACTATTTTTCCTAATTAGTGGCTTGCATAATAAGTTATGGAACAATACTCTGACTAGTGGTATTAATGTAGTTATGGAACAATACTGTGACTAATGGTCCACAATTAGTCACAGGAAATACTGTGACTAGTGATTGATATATTCAATCACGGGAAAACGGGTCACTACAGGTAGTAAATACCGTGAATATTGATTAATGTTTAGCCACGAGAATCCATTTTTTCATAGTAAATATCGTTATGAGTGATTGAGATCAAGTAATAGTAATTGAGTTGTCAAATAAATACCGTGATTGAGTTCTAGTCATGGGAATCGATTTTTTTATAGCAAATACACTGATTAGTGATTGACATCTAGTCACGAAAATCAATTTTTCACGGTAAATACAATTTTAAAAGGTGCACTTCCTATATCTAAATGTGTTATTCTTCCCGGTCTTGTGCTCCAATATTATGCATTAGTCAAGGGGCCTATAGTGATTAATACATACAAATTATCACAGGCAACTATACCGTGAGTACATGACTAGTTATAACTACTCACAGACAAATTTTCCATGATCTTTACAATTAGACACAAAGGTATATATTACAGTAATTTTCCCGTGACTAAAACTATTAAACAAGGGAAACACACTTTCAAACATGGGATTTCCATGACGAGCCCGATGAGTCGTCTAACGGGCTGGTGGGGCCGAGGCGGCATGAACTGGATGGGCTTTGTCTATCGAACCGAATACCAAAGCCCAATCTGATGTTCGCAGCTGACGAGTAGTTGAATTAAGGGTTTGTTTCGTTGTTGTAGGCAAGTTGGTTTCCCATTCCTTTTCTACGTAGGATTGTTGTTTCTTTTCTCGCACGTTATTTTCTTGGTTGTAAGCTCTATAAGTTGTGTGGTTAGTAGTAATAAAGGAGAAGATTGGAACCCAGAATTAGCTTTATCTTTCTTATTTTGTAGAAACCTTACTATCACGCATCATAGGAATGTCTTCCTAGATAGAACTCCGGATGAAACCTCGGTGTGGACGGTGGGTAGTACCCATTAAAATGAGATATGATTTTAATGCCCCAGATACGATAGTCTAGATCGAGGTGACTGACATGAGTTTAGGGGAGGCATACTGGGAGGCGTGTGGATAATGGGATGAACTTATTTAGACATTGCATAGTAGAACAAGGTTAGGGTGAGGGATAGTTCCCCGAAATACCTGCTTTTATCCTTATTTGTTCTCTCTACTAGTTATTTCGCTTGAGACCTCCATCAAAACCTCTTAAACCGATCGGCTAGATAACAACAATGTGGGAATTGAAGTAGGCTAGGGTATCGAGACCCAAGTGAATACGACCTTGAGTGCCACTATATGACAATGCTATTTTAGGTTAAACTTGGCCTAGAATGGGGTAGTTATTGAAACGTGCTAACTATTGACATTTATTTGCATGGAATAAATCGATCATATAGCATAAAAGTATTATTTGGTACTCGAGATAAATTATAATTCCGTCCACAAACTCTTTAGTTGTTACATTTTACACATCGTTAATAAAAATGTGTATAGTTGACTTGGATTTAACAGCCAGCCCGCAACCCAGTTGCTTGACCTGGTCAATGATAAAAAGCAAACCCCATATCAAGTTACGTCCTCTGCGCGTGGTTGATGATCAATGGTCACGTGTCGCGGGACGGGTATTAGAGGAGTGTCTCATATAGTGGCATCACTTCCTCGAGGAGGAGGCCACTTGGGAACCGGTGGAGGAGCTTCATTACTAGTTCTTTGACTTTGACCTTGAGGTAAGGTTGAGCTAGCTTCAAGGGGCGTGGACAACACTTTTGGCGACCAGAATGAATTTGTCGCGTAATATGTGACAATTCGACGACCACTAGAGTGGTCTCTAAAAGTGTTGTCGGAGACCATAAAGAAATGGTCGTCAAAACATAAGCTTTTGGCGATCAGTTTTGGAAAGTGGTTGCATTTACTTTCGTCAACGACATATATATGACCACTCTGGTGACGAGAAAAAATGGCCGTAGAAATAATAAGGCGACCACTATTCTTGTTTACGTGAGCACATTTTATGATCGCGGAATACCTTTTTTCTTGTAGTGATATATAAAAATGGGAAACGGAGGCATATAACATAAAATTATTGTTTGGTACGCAAGATAAATTATAATTCAGTCCATAAACTCTTAGTCCTTACATTTTACATAGTTATTAAAAATGTTTATAAAATGATTCAATCGAGTTGACCTCGATACATCAGCCAGCCTGCAACCCAGTTGCTTGATTTGGTATAAAATTATTCATTTAAACAACCTTGGCAAAAACACATTCCATATATATATGAAACAAGTTGGGTATATATGTCAAGATGAAAAGAAACCCCATATCAACCATACGGATTTGCCAAAACTATCTCATGCTTTTATTGCTGACACAGCCAAGAGATCCAGATACAACCATAACAGTACTGATACATGCAGTACTTTGAGGTAAGTTTGCGTACTAAAAAACCTGAACCGCTCCAAACTAGTGAAATTAAGATACCTAAACTGAAAGGCCGAAAAGGAGAAAAAAAAAAAAAAAACACACACACGGAAATAACCATTGTGTCAAACTAGGTACGTAAATGATCAGCAGGATGTCCATCTCATCGATTCATCGTCCAAGGATGGACGTAACGTAACTAGAGCTTGTGGAAAGACATGGTGCAAGTGGCCTCGGAACAGCTTCCCTTCCGGCTGCTGGTGCAAGAAGAGAGCTGCGTCAGGAGACGACCAAGACAGTCGATGCAAGGTTGCACTTTCTTCCCCCGACAACTTGCTCTTCCTCCAATCGTACCGGCGTACGTAGTATCGTATGCGAAAGTGGGCCTTCCCGGCGTCACTCTAGCCAACGTCGTCAGAATATTCGTCACCGCACTTGCATACCCAAACTCACTAACGCTGCCGCTGCAAGTTTTGGCGCCGGCACTCTGAATAAAACATCCCACAATCACTACAGCCAACACACTCAGCCCCGTTACTTTCCTTTGACTACCGGCCATTTCGATCGATGTATCTTGGCTTCTTGATTTTTAACCAACTTTTTTTTCCTCTTCTTTCTTTGCGAGGTGGTATGTGGTGTTGATTTAATTAGCGACCCATTTATAGGAGCTAATGGCTCATTGGCTCGTCCCTCTCATAAGTTCCACCGTCCGGCAACGTCGAGGTTGTTTTTTTATTTTTTGATAGTCGAGGTTGTTATAATTCATGTTAGCCGGTTTGCCCGTTCGGCCGATAAACGCACATTTTCTAGCTTTGTTGATCTTCTTAGTTTCTTTCTCTTTTATGATTTAGTTTTACTTTATGAGTCGTGTGGGAATCCAACTCTTCAATATGTAGCTGTCATTTGGATTCTACTTTGGTAACGAGGATTTGCGTTATGAATTATCGCTACGGCTGCAATCTTTTGTATTCAAGCTCTTGACTCTTGCTTTCTGGGTATAAATTCAGACGGCGATGGATACATAAATTCATTCGATATGCCCACAGACCCTTGTAAATATACAAACGCTGAAAAGCAGGTTACTGTGCCATTGACTGGTCGTACAAAAGTTTCACTTTACCCCGAATTATGTCAATCTAGAAAAAGTGAAAAACAATACATGAAATAAAATTGAAAGCCTCAACCCCTCAACATCCAAAATCCTCAGCATTTAGGGTGAGCAATGGGTGATTTTATGCGAATTTGGATGCTTTTGGGATCACTAAGTACATGACGGGTGAAGGAGAAAATGACTCATAGCCACCCAAGCATTACCAGTCGATGGTTGTTGGGCAGATTCGGTGGATTTACATTGTATATTACAAATTATCACATAATTTCAATAGCTTTAAACTTAAAATGAAAAAATTACCACACTAAATAACATTTCATTTATAAATCAGGTGCAATATTATTTAATTTACAATATATGTAGTAGTAATTATTCACTAATCATAAAATATTCAATTGATAAAGGTAGTTTAAGCCTAATAGTAACCAAATAAAAGATGAACATGAAGTTTCATAAAAAAAATACAGCTAATTGTCCAAGTCTTCAAGCCACAACCGAACACTCTTGAAACCAAACAATAAAATGAGTCAGATAACTATACAAACATTGAAAGTTAATAAGCAATTGTCGAAGGTGTTGCTACATGCAAGTAATAAAAGTCCTAGGATATCTCGTATTCCACAAGGTTTTCTAATACATAACTACTCACACCATACCATCTATGCTTACCACGAAATATGTTAGGGTTTTCCTTCAAGTTACAAGCAAATCAACACAATGCAAAGCAAGGAAAAGTAAGTTACTAAAGGGTTTTTCGACTTATAGATGCATAAAGTTATAGATACATTATTGAACAAAAAAGAAAACTTCGTGTATCATCACATATACTAGTTCTCAATCGTATCATGCATCAATTACTCATCTATAATATCACTCTATAACTTCTATGAGGCCATCCTACTCGAGATTTCGCCACCTGCAATAAAAACTTGACTAGCTAATGTATGTGTTCACTTAATGTCATCCCTAATCAATGTAGAACGGAGAAGTGAGGATATCACATGATTAAATTTTATTTATGTTCATTCTGTAATTATCTTGTTTCGTTTGTGTATTGTTTACACAACTCTTCTCCCCGATGGTTGAGAATGAGTATCATGTGCATCTCTCTCCCTGTAGCTCTTTCTCCTCCTTGCGATACTCCAATCATATCATCTAATCGTCATCTCCTCAAACAACTGTGTCATCTAAGGCAAGGTCTCGTTTAGCATTCCCCCTTGGCAAAAGGAGTCTAAGATTTGTTGATCCTCTTGAAAGATACCAATGTAGAAGGTGTCCACATTGAAATGATCATTGAAGCCATTGTGGGGACACTTCGAGA